TTCTAGAGGTATTCTCTCCTGACGTTTCCCCTGAATCTATGGCAAGCATTCTCAGAGGTAGTGAGGTCTGTTGGAACTAGGAAAATTATTATTATTGCTATTATTATTATTATTATTATTATTATTATTATTTGCTGTATTTGTATACCTCCTTTCTCAGCCTATCGGCGACTCAAGGCGATTTCCAACAAAACAGTATACATAGTATCACAATACAATTTAAAAACATTACGATTACATAAACCACAACAGCAATAATGGGTTTATATATCTGAAAATGGGTTTATATATCTGTGGAATGACCAGGGTGAGACAAAGAACTCTTGTCTGTTGGAGCTAGGTGTGAATGTTTCAACTGACCACCTTGATTAGCATTTGATGGCCTGGCAGTTGTTTGGTGTGGCTTGTTAGTGCCTGGGGCAATCTTTTGTTGAGAGGTGATTAGATGTCCCTGATTGTTTCCTCTCTGTTGTTTTGCTGGAATAGTAAGGGATTATACTTACTATTCCTATTGGCACCAATCATTGACCCGAATTGACATATTTGGGCCTCTTAACTCTTTAACAACAAAAGTCAAAAAGGTGAAATTCCTACCAAGAGTTAACACCAACCACTGCCCAATAAAAATGGAAATAACAGAAAGTCCAAGAAGTAGAAGATAGAAATAAAAAGATAATTTATTGTGAACAGAAAAGGAAATAGAAAATAATAAGAAACTCTTAAAGGAATACTTTGAAAACAATACAAATAAGGATACCAAGAAGGAAAAAATATGGGATGCCAGCAAGGCCGTAATGAGAGGCTACTTCATACAACAGGGAGCAATAAAAATAGAAGAAGACACGAGGAACAACATAAATTAGAAGAAAAATTAAAAGTAAAAGAAGACCTACTGAAATTGAGACCAAAAGACAAACAAATTAAACTAGAAATAGAACTAATCAAGAAAGAGTTAAAGGCGGGACAGTTAGAACAAATAGCAAGAAAATTAAAATATAGGAAATTAAACCATTTCGCATCCGATAACAAACCAGGGAAATTACTGGCAAGGAAGTTAGAGAAAAGGAGACAAAACCAACACATAACCCAGATAACAATAGAAGGCAGGAATTATACTACGGAAAAGGACATAGCAACTCAATTCAGAGAATTTTATAAAAACTGCTGTTACTCTCATTCTTAATATATATTAAACACCACTTATCCAAAATGATTGAGACCAGAAATGTTCTGTATTCTGGTTTTTTTTTTGTGGGAGGGGGCATTTTTTAATACTTGCATATACATAATGAGATTTCGGAGACAGGAATAAAGTCTAAACACCAAATTAATTTATGTTTCACATACACATTGTACACATAGCCAAAAGGTAGTTTTAAACAATACTAGCCATCCCCTGTCACGCGTTGCTGTGGCTCAGTCTATGTATATTTGCTTTGTGTGTGTATATATTTGTGTATATGTGTGTTTGCGTTTATATATGTGGTTTTGCACATGCGTTGTAATGTAATTTTTTGGGTTTTTTTGGGTTTTTAAGTCTCTTCTGCTGTGTTTTTCAGTGTTTTATGAGTGATGATCACTTGTCGGCCTAATAGGTGTGCTGTGTCCAAATTTGGTGTCAAATCGTCCAGGTTTTGTTTAGGTTATGTTTATCCCACTAACGAACATTAAATTTTTATTTATATAGACTAGCTGTCCCCTGCCACACGCTGCCGTGGCCAAGTCTAGTGATCTGGAAAATAAAGTAATGAGAAAGTGTTGGTTTCTAATATATGTAATTTCTTTATGGCAGTCGGTAAACAATATTTGATTATGTTTTCTTGCTCTGGTAAAGGGAGTTGGACTGGATGGCCTTAAGTATTTTCTGTTGGTCATGGGGGTTCTGTGTGGGAAGTTTGCCCCAATTGTGTCGTTGGTGGGGTTCAGAATGCTCTTTGATCGTAGGTGAACTATAAATCCCAGTAACTATAACTTCCAAATCTCAAGGTCTATTTCCCCCAAACTCGATCTGTATTCATATTTGGGCATATGGAATATTCGTGCCAAGTTTGGTCCAGATCCATCATTGTTTGAGTCCACAGTGCTCTCTGGATGTAGGTGTACTACAACTCCCAAACTCAAGGTCAATGCCCACCAAACCCTTCTAGTATTTTCTGTTGCCTCATAGGAGTCCTGTGCCACGTTTGGTTCAATTCCATTGTTGGTGGAGTACAGAATGCTCTTTGCTTGTACGCTAACTATAAATCCCAGCAACTACAACTCCCAGATGACAAACTCATTTTTGGGGGTGAAGGACATACATTGGGTTGTTAGGTGTATGCTGTCCAAATTTGGTGTCAATTCGTCCAGTGGTTTTTGAGTAATGCTAATCCCACAAACAAACATAACATTTTTATTTATATAGATTGGTAATGATTTGTACATGAAACAAAGTTTGTGTACATTGAATTATCAAAAAGCAAAGGTGTCAAATGTTTTTGATTTTGGCATATTTTGGAATTCCGAGTAGGAAATTTTCAACCGGTATAGGCGATGGAGACAAAAGAAAATCTGGCAGTTTCTACAGTACTCTTGGTTGGCTGTGAAATTGAGATCCCTACTCAGTAACCAATACCCCAAGATGGCTTGATTTAGGTGGGAGACACTGTACCCAGCATCCCATAATTAGCTATTTCATTCAGTAACAGTATGACAGCTGCTGTTTTCCAAAACTCTGAGGTGTTGGCCTTGGATCAGAAATAACGGCAGCTAAAATTAAATAGCGATTATCCTCCAGCTTCTCTTTGAGAATACTTGTTATGAGCACAGAGAATGACATTTGTTAGGATTATTTAAAAAACAGCTGCTATGGACCTTCAGGTACCATTGTTTGTAAACGTATGGAATTTAAGTCTACTTTCAAGTAGACATTTTTGTTTTTTTTCTTGGGAAAATCTTGTATTTTGTGATTGCACTGTTGGCAGTGATAACAATGATATAAACTTTTGGCTTATGGGTTAAAAGTGAATGTTTAATTTCATTTTCTTTACTGTCAACCTGTTATTCAACCTAGTAAAGGGATCACGTAATGTGCACCATGAATGCCAATCCTTTTTTCACATTAGTGGAGCATGGAAAAATGACATCAAACAATTGTATTATTTGTTTATTTTTTGAATTTTTATATCACACTTTTATTCTATTTCTGGGATGGATAATGTTTAAACAATTGAAAAGTCAGTGCTTGGGGAAGTTACTTCTTCAGACTACATCTCTGTGAATTTCAAGCCAGCATAGCCACCTGCAATGTTAGCTCGGGATTTTGGGAGTCATAATCTAAGTTCCAGAGTATGCTAAATTGGCCCCAAGAAACTACTGATATGATCATTGGATGTGGGTACTTGAGTATGGCTGCACTTGTCATCAGGAGCAAAATTCAAAGCGTGGGCACGAGTAGGCAGGATTATGACTGGACCACAGATGGCAGAAACCTCAACTTAGATCTGATAAAGACACAACACATAGAACATCTTTGTTCCTATAAAGTGGCAACACATGCAGAAGAGAAAGCCTTCTTCTGTGCATTTATTGCATCTGTGAACTTGCATTCAACTGAATTATTTAGAGTATTGCGGGGTCTAACTTAGGCACCTTCCCCCTGAATCCAAATCTAGAGAAGGAAAATTGCCTCCCCCCCCCCCCCCGGCCTTCTGGTGTGTCATTTCGATGTGTGTCATTTCGATGTTCAGGGTGGCCAGGTAAGTTGTTACCTGCACTTCTTGGGGGGGGGGGTGTCCTCTCCGTTTGCCTGGTTCATGGAGCCCCCCCAAAAATGAGAGGGCTGTATGCATTGGGCCCGGGGATTGCATGATGTGGTCCCCGGGCCCAATCCACACTGGGCCTACACCTGGTAATGCCCGGATCTTACCAAAGATCCAGGTCTTACCAGCTTTCTAATTAATTCGGGACAAAGCAGGGTTTACCTGCACTGTCCCGAATTAATTCGCTATTACCATAGGCATCATTTGGACACCTCTGGTAAAAGCATGGCACATTTTGGGACCTGTCTGGAAGGGCCCTCAGTCACAACTGGTGCAAGAAGATTAGAGGGAATTGGAAGAACCTGAAAAAAACAACAACAGATCCTTTCCACTTTACCCTTTTCTGTGCTGGAGGGGGGATTAGTGGGCACCTATGTTAGGGTTTTTTTTTTTTTGGAATAGATTAACCCTTGCCAAGCCTCTGGTGGCACAGTGGGTTAAAGTGCTGAGCTGCTGAGCTTGTTGATCGATTCCGGGGAGCAGCATGAGCTTCTGCTGTCAACCCCAGCTCCTGCCAACCTAGCAGAGTGGTTTTTCCTTTGCTAGGGCAGCATTACCAGCGTACTCTCGTTGTTGAATTCTGTCAACAACGAGAGTACGCTGGCAATGCTGCCCTAGCAAAGGAAAAACCACGCTGGCACGGAGAAAGAGGCGGAGAAAGGGGCGGAGAGAGAGGCGCAGTCTCATGACGTCATGGACGTGCTGGCACAGTTTGCTCCCACAGGAGGCTAGTTTGTGGTGGCTGTAACACAGCTTTTGCGCTTTCTTCTTTCACCTTGATTAGAAGGCTCCTCAGCTCCTCCTCGCTTTCGGAATTAATAGTGTACCTTAACCTTTATACTAGAAGAAACCATGTTATCTGCATGTGTATTTCTACCACGCCTGCAAAATGAGTTCTACAAAGTTTAACCTTTGACTTACATACAGGTCATATCAAAATCCATATTTTTGGTCCCCAAACCTGCCTTTAACATATACACAAGTATTTCTGGTAGTTGGTGTCCTTGTTGAACAGCCGATTCTTCTTGAGTTTCACTGAGCCATGCCATGTACCTCTGTTCCACCCACCTCTTTCCACTCCTCTTCACTGTTGCTGTCCTACCGTCTCTTGCCATGTCACTGAGACTGAATTAACCCAGGCTTGCAGGTCAGCTCCTGTCCACCCGCCCTTCTTCTTCTTTGATATTTTGGACTGCCAACAGGAGTCTCTACAGCTGTACACAGCAGACGGGCTTACATTCCTGGGGGCCAGGATGGCAGGGCTACTTTGTAAAAAACGCAAGAAAACAGGAGGTAGGAAAGAACACATCGGGCATGAAAGCATGATGTTGGTTTGTTTTCATTTAGAGTTACTTGCAGGTGGGTAGGGAGGCTTTGCTGTGAGCTTTCAGTCCAAAAGCAAGCGATAACATGACAAGATTTGGGAGACATTTGGCACAGCGTACCCACCGAGTTTAGAAATAGAATAGAGCCCTGTAGCCTTGGCATTTATTTTAAAGACCAGACACATGCTCATGTCCCTTTACTCCCAGCAATTAGTTGAATGGCAGGATTAAGAGTGGGGGTTTTGTGTGTTTTGCGTTGCCTCTGAGTCAGGTTCTGAGCAAATTGGATTCTGTTCAGGAAATTCAGAGGATTATCCATTTTAGCTATGCAAATATGTGATGTACAGGAAAAGGAATTGGCATCACTCGTTTTAACAGTTTAACAATAGATTTGCTGAATGAGAAGTCTGAGAAAAGGTCTGTGTCAAAATGCATTGTAACAGTAGCCTAAGGGCATGCTTTGTGGTGTTGTGAGTGTACAATAGTAGGTATTAGAATGCATCTACAGCCTTTGTCTTACTAGAGGTCTTTTGAGTTGTAACTGGAGCTGGGCTCATTCTGTGATCCATATTAAGCACAGTATTGGGTGCAATACAGAAAACCTTGATAAACATTTTGAACACACAGCCACAGCCTGAATACAACACTTACTACATTATTAACCCTTGCATGAGACTAGTTTAGTTTGGCAAGCCTCTAGTATCAATTTGATTTTCAGAATTTAGCAAGTAAACTTTTTCATAGCACACAGTAAACATTGTCAGTTGCTGAAGCTGGTAGAGCAAGCTATTGTGAAGGATGTGGGAGTAGAGAATAAATAATCAAAAAGTTGGGAAACTCCAACTTCAGACGTCTTCATTGATCCAAGTTTGTAAACATTACATTTTGCATTTCTACCAGCACAATGTTTTGGGGAGTGGTGTCATTACTCTCATCCCACAGACTATAAACTTTGTGCAAGAGAGATGAAGGAATGATAACTGTGACAGCGCGAGTGGCGCCACCTATGTGTAGAACTGTTAGTTGCAAGATTTAAACTGTTGTATCATGCTTAATCCTGCCTTTTTACCCTGCTTATGTATAGTTGGATTGATTGGTTATTTATAGCTGTCAATCAGTGTTGTTTGCACCAGTTGAATTGCTTTTTCAAGCTCAATTGTTTGGCTCCATCTCTTCCTGGAGGAGGGGAGTGCTTCCCTTTTTCATTCTGCTATCAGAGTTTCTATCAGATGGACGTGAGTAAGAGACTTGGCTCTAAAAGCCCCTGCTTAAATTACCTCTCAGCACCAATTCTAAGGTTTTTTACCCTTGGGACTCATGCTTTATGTCCAGATCATCCTGGACAACATTGAGGAGACCCAAGCGCCTTCAAACCGGTTCTTTTGGCACCAGAGGAAGGTCTTGTCCCTTCAACATAGGCCATTGGACTGAGGTTGTGTTTATTCCGATATTCACAGCCATTGAGGAAAGAGGAAACAGGAAAAGTTTCTCAGCTGCAAACTCCTTGGACTTCAGAGATTGTAAAGTATATTTCCTTTATCCCTGTTGAAACATCAAGCTTATGCCTGAGAAAGATAACTCATTGTGAACAATAAATACCATTTCGAGTTATCTGTTGTGTTTTGGTCTTTGGGAGTTCCAGTTTACTATAGGAGGGCAAGAAGCAATCCCCTGGGGAAAGATGCCACGTCCATGCCTCTTTCACTAAGAGTTATAGCCCCCAGGCACGACGGCACAATAACTTTAATGTGTTGTTAACAGATTAGAAGGGTCTGAGAAAGGCCAAATTGTAAGAGCATAACAGAAGCTGTTGCTGCAGAAAACTACATATATTGGAGTTTTTTTTTTAAAGGACATGAACTGGTAGATCAGAGATAGAATTGGATATGACCTGGTGGATTGTGGATCCATAGCCAACCAGTCTCAAAAATTCCATGAATGAAATTTGAAAGCACAAAGTTTCCTTTGTGTGCTGAAAAGTGTTTTTCCTGGTGGAAACCATAAAGTAGAAATTATCTGCCCATTGTACTGTTGTACTCAGGGAGCACAACTTCATTTTATTTCAATTGGCAATCTGCTTTGACGTCCAGTAAATTAAAAGACCCACACGTAATGCAGGATTGGCTGTGTGGTGTATATCTCATTCTTGAGGAATCCAGATATACTTCATTTCCTGCTGTAACTTGGAATTACCTTACATTTATTGTAATCCTGAGGAAACCTGCTGTTAAATCATTGTAAACTTGTGCCCTAGAGACTTTATTTTGGCAACCGGCATAGAAGTTTCATCCCTGTTTTAAAACTTTGAGCTTTTATCCATTTGGCAAGAGGGGAGTCTTGGTGATCACTGAAATTGTTCAGGACTCCCAGATGTTAAAGTTGTAAGAGAAAAGATGGTGTTTTGGCTCTCTTCTCCGCTCCCTTGAATAGTAGAGTAAGAAAAAAAATCTATAACTGAGAGATGAGGATTTTTTATAACATGAGTTTTTATAATCATACTAATTCAGATATGCAACATTGCTTGGATTAGGCAAGTTCTTGGTGGTATGAGCATACCAAATCACCTTGTCTCTCTCCTGAGACACACACACATCATTTTAATTTTCTTGTTCTGTTTTTTTATATATATAATGTTGATGGCTAGGCAGTTAGCTCTGGGAAAACCATTGCAAAAACTAAATAGAGTAAGCTATATTAAGCTATAGATAGTATATATACATTATAGATAAGTATTAAGCTATATTGAGTTAATATAGATAGTATATTGTGTATTGAGCTGTATTGAGATGTTATAGACAGATAAGCTTAATTGAGAAGATTGAGTTATATAGTTATAGAGAGAGAATCTTGACTGCTTTGTCTCCAGAACTAACCTTAAGTTATAGATAGGGAAAAACCTGCATTTCCAAACCACAACAGCTTAAGGTTAGGGTGTTAAGATTTCAGGATCTTATCTGCCATCTGGAGAAAAGGGTTTACTTCTGTAACTAAAGAAAAGACTTGCTTCCGAAACGTTAGGAGGGAAGGAGCAGATCTAATCTCTCTAGGGAGGGTGTTCCATAGCCAGGGGGCCACTGCTGAAAAGGCCCTGTCTCTCGTCCCCGCCAAACGTACCTGTGATGAAGGCGGGACCAAGAGCAGAGCCTCTCCAGATGATCTCAAGGTTCTAGATGGTTCATAAGGGGAGATACGTTGCTGAGTATCTCAAGCTTCTCAATATAGACACCTGCAGTTCACTCCGGCATAGAGAGAAGCACGTCACAGTTTTGTTTTTTATATCATCTGGGCGGACGGCACAAAAATCAAGACCTGGCTTGGGACCAAACGTTCATTTAACGAGCAGCAAGTATAAGAAGATTTTAACACTTATGGCAATGATTTGACCCAGACTGGATTTTAGACTCTGATTTTAATTATTATTTTAATATTTTTAATATTTTAATGTATTGTTGATTGTTTTATTATGATGACACCGTATGGTGCTTGTGAGGTTCCCTGAGTCCCCCCTCGCGTGTAAGAAGGGTGGGGTATAAATATAGGAAATAAATAAATAAAATAAATTTGCATCTGGTACTTTGCCAACATGTTTTGTGGTTTTTCTTTGTTTCAGTGACGGACCTGCAAGAAGAGGGTAAAAATGCAATCAATGCACCCATGTCCCCTGCCATGACTGATCTACACCCAGAAGATACATTATTAGGTACAGTATGCTGCCAAATGTAGATTACTACAAAATAAAGGATTTGTTTTCATTACGTGGGTAGGACATAGGGATCTGGTTAGATATATCAGTCTGAAGCAATACCATTGACAGTGATGATTTGACATAAGGACTTAGACTTCCTCTTTGGTACCAATTAAGTGCAGTCAATCCTATGATAAATGTTTTAAAATGACGTCTGCCTTAATCATATATATGTGTCTTCAAACATTAGGAGTTGTTTTTTCTAGGCTTCCCTCTTTCACTCTGCAAATGTTCTAAAATTTACCCTTGTTGTGAATTCAGTGCAATAATCTAAATGAAGGGTGAATCAAAAGCTACGCCATTTGCAGACAAGACAGACAGTTGCAGTAAAGGTACACCTCTCGTTGGGTTTTATGTGAAAATCTCCCAAGCCTGAACACATGTGCTCTAAGAAGTGAAGCTGTTACTTATAGATGATGTTGATCGTATATCAAAAAGTAGAGATTGGCAATTGGAAACCTCTCCCACTCCATGAAGAAAGTTTCCTTGATTGTTGTCATGGAGGCAAAAGGAGAAGACACTATCATCTGTCCGAACGGATTCTCCCCTATGAACCATCAAGGTTGTTAAGAACTTCTGGAGGGGCCTGCTCTCGGTCCCACCACTCTCGCAATCGCGTCTGGTGGGGACGAGGGACAGGGCCTTCTCGGTGGTGGCCCCTCGGCTCTGGAACGCTCTCCCATTGGAGATTAGAACTGCCCCTTCTCTCCTGAGCTTTAGAAAGTTGGTGAAAACCTGGCTCTGGAATCTGGCATTTGATGAGTGAGTCAATAACTCTTGACCACACGGACGGATGGTGATGAATTGTGTTTTTATTCTGACGACTTGGCCTTATGTAATTATATGATTGTATTTTAATGTGTTTTATATTAGTGTATTAGGGGATGTGATGTTTTAAACTATTGTGTATGAATCCTCTGTTGTAAACTGGCCTGAGTCCCTTGTCGGAGGTGAGAAGACCGGTATATAAAAGTTCTAAATAATTAATAAATAAATAAATATGATAATTGAATAGTCAGGCTGTCATTTCACGAAAGTGGAAGTTCAAGAACTGGATTGCCACCCTTGACTCACTCTTTGGGAATGTGTTTTTGGAGACATGGGATTCTGTAGTTTTGCAAGACAGTGGTTCCTAGGCTACTTCTACACTATTCAGATTATCAAAGCAGATAATCTGGATTTTATATAGCAGTGTAGAAGAGGGCCCACTCTTGAGCCCCAAATATTCTTGGACTACAGCACCCAAAATCTTTCCCTATTGGATAAGATGGCTAAGGGTTCTAGGACCTGAAATTCAATGTCATCTGGGATGCCAAATCTGATAATTTCTATTATAGAGCCTGGCTGCCTGCAAAAGTATTCTATTGCATTGTTTCATAGATGTTCAGCTTCTGAAGAAACAAGTGATTTCCCAAGAATACAAAACCCTCCCCACCCTTACATAAACATATATGTTAAAAGCTGAAGCAATTTAGTGGTGAAGCTCAGAATTGATGTTAGCTATTGAAAAACATTGATTATTAGTAGATGGTTCCATAGGGAGACTTTATAAAGTGTAACATTGAGAAAACCAAACTGCTCTTCCAGCAGACACCAGCAAATAAAATCAAATAATTTATTTCGGTCATTGACCAAAACAGGAAATAGAGTCACATTTTCATACAAACTTGGTATGTTTGATACATTAAAAATATAAATATAACTATTGAAGCACAATATGGGTGAGGGAGTCACCAGCCAATCCCTCTCCAAGGCCAGAAATACAGCTTAATGGTGTAACATTAGAAAATGTTGACCATTTCTGCTACCTTGGCAGCCACCTCTCCACCAAAGTCAACATTGACACTGAAATACAACACTGCCTGAGCTCTGCGAGTGCAGCTTTTTTCCAAATGAAGCAGAGAGTGTTTGAGGACCGGGACATCCGTAGGGATACCAAGGTACTTGTTTATAAAGCTATTGTCCTCCCAACCCTGCTTTACGCCTGCGAGACGTGGACTGTCTACAGATGTCACATGCAACTCCTGGAACGATTCCATCAGCGCTGCCTCCGAAAAATCCTGCAAGTCTCTTGGGAAGACAGGCAGACAAATGTCAGTGTGCTGGAAGAAGCAAAGACCACCAGCATTGAAGCGATGGTCCTCTACCATCAACTCTGCTGGACCGGCCACATTGTCTGGATGCCCGACCACTGTCTCCCAAAGCAGTTGCTCTACTTCAAACTCAAGAATGGAAAACGTAATATTTGTGGGCAGGAAAAGAGATTTTAAAATGGGTTCAAAGTCAACCTTTAAAACTCTGGCATAGACACTGAGAACTGGGAAGCCCTGGCCCTTGAGCTCTCCAGCTGGAGGTCAGCTGTGACCAGCAGTGCTGTAGAATTTGAAGAGGCTGGAATGGAGGGTGAAAGAGAGAAATGTGCCAAGAGGAAGGCACATCAAGCCAACTCCGACCGAGACAGCCTTCCACCTGGAAACGAAAGCCCTCATTGCAGAAGAAGATGTAGATCAAGGATAGGGCTCCACAGTCACCTAGGGCCCATCAATACACCAATCTTGGAAGACTATACTACTCGGACAATGAGGGATCACCTAAGTAAGTTAAGTAAGTAAGTAAGTAAGTTTATAGTGTCTGTCAGCACTGAGCATAAAATAATGAGGAAGTTTGAGTGTTTAAAAATAAAAGCTACCATTGCCTATATGAGTTTGCAGAATTAAAAGGAACTAGGATAAAAATATATAACATCACAGCACTTAATGTTAAATTAATTTGGGGGGAGATACGTAACAGTTCTAATTCACTCTATTTCAAAATGATTATAGGAATTTAGTCCTAAAGATTCTTCCTTAAATAAGGATGCAGGGGCGGCTCAACCCATTACGCAAAGTAAGCATTTGCAGTATAGTTGATTTTGCCCAGGGGCGCTCTTGGGGGAAAATAGACCTTGACATATGCAAGTTGTAGTTACTGGGATGTATAGCTCACCTACAATCAAAGAGCATCCTGAACTCCACCAATGATGGAATTGAACCAAATATGGCACACAGAACTCCCACGACGAACAGAAAATATATATCAGTGATTGGTTGGGGCGCCACAATACTGTTTGCTTACCATTGAAAATTACCTAGGGCCGCCTCTGTAAGGATGGTTACTTTATCCTTTCCCACCATCCTTTTTGTTGACACTGTCCCTCTGAACAGGCTTCATAGTTGTAGGGGAAAAGGATCAAGGTATGAGTATCTTTCCCCACAGCAGGTTTTGGAGACATTTGCTGCATTGTTGGCAGGAAAATGCTATTTTTGTAGTTTGCTCCTTTCTATCTCCCCGCAGTCCTCTGCTCATCCTGAATTTGACCACAAGACCTTTGCGCATTATTTTGATGAGCAACATTCAGGCAAATACATCTCAGTCTTGTAGTTCAATCTATGGTTATGTGTATTTCTGTGAAAAAGACACTACTTTTTATGTGCTATTCTAATAATATAATATAATATATTGTATATGCATATAATATTTATAATATTATAATGTAATGCAATATAATAATAATATGCTATTACAATTATATATTTATATTACATGTAATATTACTAATAATAATATTACGATATAGTGGTATGGTGCAATATAGCAATGTTTAATGCTGATATTGTACTATGCTAATAATATAATATATTGCATGTAATATGTACCTTGTAAGCTGCTCTGAGTCCCCTTCGGGGTGAGAATGGCGGCATATAAATGTCGTAAATAAATAAATAATAAATACTTAAGTAGGATTTTCCTTATTATGTGTGGCAATTTGTGTTCATTAGACTCCCATTCATATCTCAAGAAGGCTCCTACATTTCATTTTTGGCAATATGTAAACACATAGAAGTCTGATTACTAGATAACTCAGTTGAATACACATGACTGAGTAAATGAAATATTACTACCCTGGTTGATAGTTCTATATGTACAGGAAAATTTATGTCCAATTAAAGTATTACTTTACACAATGAAAAATCTCATAATCCATATGCTGGAGAAACATTTTGTGCCTTTTCTACCCAATAATAAAATTAATATATAGATGGGAGTCATATTATTGTAAAAATGGGCCATTTGTGCTAAAACGTGTATTTGGGCAAATCCACTTCTTGGCTTTAGACATTTATTTTATTTATTTATCGTGTCAGGGGCAGACTAAGAAAATCAATGTATAGTTGCAGACCTCTTGGGAGTCATATTATTGTAAAAATGGGCCATTTGTGCTAAAACGTGTATTTGGGCAAATCCACTTCTTGGCTTTAGACATTTATTTTATTTATTTATCGTGTCAGGGGCAGACCAAACAGTTGCATTGCATTTTTTAACAAACAACAAACAAACACAAAGTTTGCAAGCTTGGTAGTTGATTAAATGTCCTTTGACCAGTAGCTGGCCACTTGGAGTGCCTCTGGTGTTGCTGCAAGAAGGTCCTCCATTGTGCATGTGGCAGGGCTCAGGTTGCATTGCAGCAGGTGGTCTGTAGTTTGCTCTTCTCCACACTCGCATGTTGTGGATTCACTTTGTAGCCCCATTTCCTAAGGTTGGCTCTGCATCTCGTGGTGCCAGAGTCGTCTGTTCAGCGCCTTCCAAGTCGCCCAGTCTTCTGTGTGCCCAGGGGGCGTCTCTCATTTGGTATCAGCCATTGATTGAGGTTCTGGGTTTGAGCCTGCCACTTTTGGACTCTCGCTTGCTGAGGTGTTCCAGCGAGTGTCTCTGTAGATCTTAGAAAACTATTTCTTGATTTAAGTCGTTGACGTGCTGGCTGATATCCAAACAGGGGATGAGCTGGAGATGTTGCTGCCTTGGTCCTTTCACTATTGGTTACTACTTCCCGGCGGATGTCAGGTGGTGCAATACCGGCTAAACAGTGTAATTTCTCCACTGTAGTAGGGCGTAGACACTCCGTGATAATGCGGCATGTCTCATTAAGAGCCACATCCACTGTTTTAGCGTGGTGAGATGTGTTCCACACTGGGCATGCATACTCAGCAGCAGAGTAGCATAGCGCAAGGGCAGATGTCTTCACTGTGTCTGGTTGTGATCCCCAGGTTGTGCCAGTCAGCTTTCGTATGATATTATTTCTAGTGCCCACTTTTTGCTTGATGTTCAGGCAGTGCTTCTTGTAGGTCAGAGCACGGTACAGGGTGGCTCCCAGGCTTTAGAAATGATTCATGCTGATAGATATAAGTGTACAGGAATAGCATTTACATCTCATATCCTTCATTTGGTGCATTCTTAAGAAAGGCCAATTCCTTGTAATCATTTGATATTGTTTCCAACCTCCAATGGTGACTGGGTTTTCCCATTTATGAATCACGACAGCAGCTGATTCCTGAAAGGCAGTGTTTTAAGACTGTGTTGTGTGGGATGGGTGTGTTGATTATGATGGCTACATCTAAGAGACTGTTTTCTAAACTGGCAGAGGAAAATGAAGAACGCACCATGATCGATCCCAACTCAAAGGAGGATGCCAAATTTAAAGAACTTATCAAGGTAAGAACATCACTATTTTTTAGTTACTGGTATGCCTTCCTTTGGTGTAAGACTAAATACTAGGCCTGGGCAATCCATGGTTCTAAATGGTTCTAAAGTACTTACAAAACTAAAGTTCTGGTGGTGAAAATTTCAGAACTCTAACAAAACTTTCAAAATTTAATTATTATTTCATTATTGGCGATTTTTTATGACAGAACCAATTAGGGACTGCCATTTATAATGAAATTTTGAGAGTTTTGTTAGAGTTTTGAAATTTTCACCACCAGAACTTTAGTTTTGTAAGTACTTTAGAACCATTTAGAACTATGCATTGCCCAGGCCTACTAAATACCTGTCCTAACGCATCTCTTCTTATGAACCTCTCAGGACTTTAAGATCATCTGGGGAGGCCCTGCTCTCGGTCCCGCCTTCGTCACAAGCACAGTTGGCGGAGACGAAAGATAGGGCCTTCTCAGTAGCTTTTAAAAATGGCTGAGTTACCTAGGGACCTCTAGATTAGACTATTGCAATGCACAGTATGTGGAGCTGCCCTTGAAGACAACCCGGAAATTCCAACTGGTCCAATGAGCAGCAGCCAGATTAATAACGTGGGCGAATTACAGGGAATGGTCTGTTTAAGGAGCTCCATTGGCTGCCGTTTATTTTCCAGTCCCAATTCAAGGTGCAGGTACTTACCTACAAAGCCCTGAACTGTTTGGGACCTGCCTACCTTCGTGACCACATTTCCTTTTACAAACCTACATGATCCCTTCGATCATGTAGGCCCTTCTCATGCTCCCGCTCGCAAGTGCGACTTGTGGGGACGAGGGAGAGGGCCTTCTCTGTGGTGGCCCCTCAGCTCTGGAATTCGTTCCCAGAGATAATTAGGCAAGCCCCCACCCTGGCAGTCTTTAGGAAGAGCTTGAAAACTTGGCTGTTCCAGTGTGCCTTCAAGGAATGATTAACTGAACTATAACCTCTGACCTGATCAAACCTTGTAAAATAATGTCCTCGGAAGCACTTTTCTACCTACTAGTGCAATTAAACCCTATTTTCATCCTTCTGATCCCGTCCAGATACAATACATTGCCTTCTCGCCCAGTGTTTTTAAACTTTTTAAAAATTTTAATCCTTGCTATCGGCCCTGCTCACTGGGTTTTAGTCTCGGCGTTTAAATTATTGTGATTCTACATTGTTTATGTCTTTTATATTGTTTCTGTATTTTATTTTTATATTTTTCCTGTTGTTGTATGTTGTTTATTGCATTGCTGCATTGTTGAGCTTGGCCTCATGTAAGCTGCCCCGAGTCCCCTTGGGGAGATGGTGGTGGGGAATAAATAAAGATTATTATTATTATTATTATTATTATTATTATTATTATTATAAAAGCATCTTTTTCAGAACTTAGACTGAGGATGGGATGCAGTTTCTTCCTGTTACATGCCCCATTTTGGAGGAGACAGATAAATAGTTTTGCACCAACATGATCAGAAACTCTCCCAAGCCTTGAGAGGAGTGTTGTTTTTATTCTCATCCTTATCTTCACCCACATTTTAATATGGTGCTACCAAGATAAGACCAAGAAAAAACCCCAGATATTTGTCTTCAGGCTTACAAACAAGTTGCACAAAATAAAACGGAATGGCAGTGTGGGAAGGCATTACATCCTGCAGAAACTCCCTCGTATTTTCACCTGTTTCTCTCCTTAGGCATGATGGAGCTCTGTATGCCTCTTCATTTTTCCCTCTCTGGTCATAGCTTTGCCAGTTGGGATGGCACAAGGGCCTTTCATCTGCTTCTGAGCTGAGAAAGCTGTGCCTTCTTCACTCCCTTTGGTGGCAGTTTGGATGCTTTTGGGACTATCCTATTCCCATTTTGTTCTATTTCTATGGGTTTTAGGGCCCGCTATAACCCCTTTAGACATCTGCAATCCTATGAGGACTTCTTGCAGCTCTTTGGGGTGCATTTTGTCACATAAATGATATATTTGGATCCCCCCAGCCCAAGTGCTGGAAAATGAATGGAAGTCACATTTAGCCAGTCAAAGTGTCATTTCCAGTCACTGCAGACCCCACTGTTAGTCATTAGATGCTGAAACAGTCCAAATCATCCCAAACCACTGTTCAGATGTCACCATTCCTGCTGTGCAGGAAAAGAGGATGGATTACGCCTGTGTTGCAACCATCTCTACTCTTAGCTTGAGGGCTCTTCCAGATAGGTCCTGTATCTCAGGAACCAGTCTCAGATTCTCTGTTTATCACAGATTATCTGGTAGTGTGGACTCATATAATCCAGTTTAAAGCAGAATACCTGAGATCAGCTCTTGGCATATAGGGCCTCTCTGGAAAGGCCCTGAGTTGGCCACAATGGTTGTTGTGCTGTTGTGCGCTGGGCCTGTGACAATGTCTGTTTACAGGACGTGCTTTCTGTATGCCCAACCGGACGCCGGGGTGCCTCAGCTAAAGGGTCCCATAGGTTTCCCAACACAAAGTTCTGTAGAGGCTCAAAATAGGTTCAACAAAGTTCTTTATTAAGGCTTAAATCTTCGAACAAACATATTAAATGCTTTATAATCTTGAAAAACTAGTAGCTTTCTTGATCTGCCAACAAGGGACAGGCAACTGTTTGATAAACTGTTTATCTTCTTCCGACACCTCCTTGGGCAATCTTTCTTTACCCTGCTGGTGTGAGGCCCCAACTCCCGGCTTCAAGATGCATTATGGATAGCCTGAGTGGTCCTTACCAGGCAATGGTTGCTGTAGATCTGCCAAGCTGGTGTCCTGTAGATTTGCCCCACGAAGGCCGTGGAACCATTCCTTTATTTTCCAGCGAAAGCTGACTGTATTCCCCCAGCAAAGCTGTGGAACTGCAACTTTACTCCCCAGCAAAGCTGTAGAGGTTTTCCTTTCCCCCCAGCAAAAGCTGTAAGAAGTGAAGCTTTTTACAGGTGGGACAGAGAAAGCCCACACGTCCTGCTGTAAGGCTCCAAACTGTGAGACTGAACTAAAAGTGCCCCTTTCCCTCCAAAACCTGTGGAAAGGAGCGGATCTAAAGGCAATGATGATTGATAGGTCGTTGGCCTTATGACTGCAACCTGGGAAAAGCTACCCAATTGCAAAACACATGGCCCAAATGGATTCAAACAAACTAACAGTGCAAGAAAAGGAATTAAAAACTCCTGGCACAGCTGTGCCAGCACAGTTGTCTTTACTGATGGTAGAATAGGACACCGCCAACAAGCTTTTTAAAAAAAAAATCTATAAAATTGGCATAGCAGTATCAGTACTTTATTCAGATAAATCAAGTAATACATTGTTTCCTTTCTGTTATATAGGTTTTGATTGATTGGATCAACGATGTTTTGGTAGAAGAAAGAATCATAGTCAAACAGCTTGAAGAGGACGTCTATGATGGGCAGGTGCTACAGAAACTATTGGGTGAGCTGTTGCTCTGGGCTTAATATAGTGAATAAAAGGTTAATTTGCACTGTAGAATTCATGTAGTTTGACACTGCTTTAACTACCATGGTTGAATGCTATGGAATTCAGGGAGTTGTAGTTTTAAAAGGTCTTTAGCCTTCCATGCCAAAGAGTGTTAGTTCCTCACCAAACTACAACTCCTAGGATTCCATAACGTTGAGCCTTATTAGTCATACTGGTGTCAAACTGCATTAATTCTACTGTGTAGCAGCATCCAAAGTTCTGGAGCTGGAGGTCAAGCTTTAAATGTCCACCCAGGCCCCTTCCATATAGCTGAATGAAATCCCAAATTATCTGCTTTAAACTGGAATATATGGCAGTGTGGACTCAGATAACCCAGTTCAAAGCAGATATTGTAGGATTTTCTGCCTTGATATTCTGGGTTATAAGGCTGTGTGGAAGGGTCCCCAGCCATTACTTTATTTATTTCTTTACTTACTTACTGCCTTATTTTATTTATACCCTGCCTTCTTTCCCACTTGGGATCAAAAATGGCTTGTATCATGGTTTAAAGCATAATAATGTTCAAATTAATAGTGATGGTGAAAAGGATTCAACCATTTTAAAATTCTCCCATTGCACTGAATTAAAAACTATTTAAAAACATTTAAAGCATAACAGAGGAGAAAAAAAGCCATGTTGCTTTTGGAAAGACACCATCTTTCAGCAGATGTCCTTGGGGATGAAATGGGCCAGTGTTGAGGTTTTGAAGGAGGTCTTTTAGTTTTCTAAGCAAAATTAATAACCTCTTAGATCTAATCAAAGTCGCATTACTAGTTCACTGGTAACTAACTAACAAAGTGAGAGATTTGATGTAAATAGGTCCTGACATTCAGGTGACATCCTTTCACCTAATCTGTCAAATTTTGCATCTTCCTGTCTGTTTTTCCAATCTAGAGAAACTAGCTGGCCGCAAATTGAACGTGGCTGAAGTCACACAGTCCGAAATTGGCCAGAAGCAAAAACTGCAGACTGTTCTGGAAGCTGTCCATGATTTGCTGCGACCCCACGGCTGGACTATCAAGTGGAACGTTGACTGTAAGCAACTTACCTAAGAATGGGTTTGTTGTGCAGGAGCCATGTCTCAGGAAAGAAGAGAGCATACGCTTTGCCTACTCAGTAGCCCAACTTCAGGCCTTAGAGCAGTGTTTCTCAACCTTCCTTAAGCTGCGACCCCTTAATACAGTTCCTCATGTTGTGGTGACCCCCAACCATAAAATTATTTTCATTCCTACTTCATAACTGTAATTTTGCTACTGTTATGATTTGTAATGCATATATCTAATACACAGGATGTATTTTCATTCACTGGACCAAATTTGGTACATATACCCAATATGTCCAAATTTGAATTTTGGTGGGGTTGGGGAGGAAATTATTTTGTCATTTGGAAGTTGTAGTTGCTGGAACTTATAGTTCACCTACAATCAAAGAGCATTCTGAACTCCACCAACGATGGAATTGAACCAAACTTGGCACACAGAACTCCCATGACCCACAGAAAACACTGGAAGGGTTTGGTAGGCATTGACCTTGAGTTTTGGAGTTGTAGTTTACCTACATCTAGAGAGCACTGTGGACTCAAACAATAAAAGATCTGGACCAAACTTGGCATGGATATTCAATATGCTCAAATGTAGATACTGTTGGAGTTTGGGGTAAATAGACCTTGACATTTGGGAGCTGTAGTTACTGGGATTTATAGTTCATCTACAATCAAAGAGCATTCTGATCCCCACCAACAATAGAATTGGGCCAGACTTCCCACACAGAACCCCCATGACTAACAGAAAATACTGTGTTTTTTGATGGTCTTTGGTGACCCCTCTGACACCCCATCATACCCCCCCCCAGGGGTCCTGACCTCCAGGCTGAGAAACACTGCCTTAGATGAAGTCACCTCAGAGACTCATTGTTAGAAGGGCAAGTGTTGCAGCATGTGTACATAATGCAAATTTGCAGTTTTGAATAATTGAGGAATCCCAGTTATGGAGTCCTAGAAGCCAGCATGGTGTAGTGGTTTGAGCGTTGAACTAGAACACTGGAAGACAAGGGTTTGAATCCCTGTGTGACCATGGAAGGATACTGTGTAACATAGGGCATGCTATGCTGTGTTAGGAAAAGGCAAAGGCAAACCCCTTCTGAACCAAATTCGGCCAAGAACCCTGCTGTCACCATAAATCAGAATTGGATACTGTTCCATCATCTGGGCAGAGGCTACTAGGGGGAGCTAGACAGATAAGGATAGTCCATTTTAGATGAGGAAGTTGAAGGAGGAAAACCATTTCCCTCATTTTTGCTTGTTATTCCCCTACCTCCTTCCCATATGATAAACAAAGGTTGTTTCTCGATGGGGTGGGGGGGGAATAACAGGAAAACAGGGGAAATGGTTTTCTCCTTCAACCCCTCCACCCCCATAAAATGGACTACCTTCTCTCTCTAGTGTTCCCTAGTGGCCTCTGTCTGGATAATGGAACATTACCTAGAATTGTCTTCAATGCACACAAGAACAAAGCAGGATCTCCCCTCACTTTCTTTCAGGTTGGATCTACACTGTTTTATAATTCAAGTCAAAGCAAATAATCTGGGATCAAATACTGGAATATATGGCAGTGTAGATGGGACCTCAGAATCCAATTGACTAGCTGAGTTGTAGCGCAGGAGACTTCAAAGTTTACCAGTGATTTGGGGAATCCTAGAAGAGTGTGTTCATAAAGGGAAGTGGAAGCAGCAACAAATCTGGTTGAATTATTTGGAGTCCCTGAAGGCAAAGGAGCTTGAAAACTTGGCTGTTCCAGTGTGCCTTCACTGAATGAATGAACAATAATTCCCTGACCTGACCAATTCCTGCAAATGCCCATGGAAGCACTTTATTTCATCTGTTAGTGCAATCAAACCCTATTTTACCCTCCGGACCCCCTGTCTAGATACATTACACTGCCATCTCACCCAGAGTTTTTAATATTTTAATCTATTAGATTGGCCCTGCCCACAGTGATTGATTTCTGTGTTTTAAACGTTGTGATTTTATATTGTTAATGTGTTATTTATAATGGTTTTTGGATTGCACTTTTATTTTCTTACATTTTATTGCTGTATTCTGTTTATATTGATGTATTGTTTTGCTGGGCTTGGCCTCATGTAAGCCGCCCCGAGTCTCCTTGGGGAGATGGTGGCGGGGTATAAATAAAGTTGTTGTTATTATTATTATTATTATTATTATTATTATTATTATTGTTATTATTGGTATTATTATTATTATTATTATTATTATTATTATTATTATTATTAAGGACCAATCACAGATAATTGATTTAAGGCGTCCTGTAACATACTTGTTCCCAATTAATTTCAAATATGTATGCATTTCCCTAAGCAATTCATGGCAAGAACCTGGTGTCCATCCTCCACTTGCTTGTTGCTCTGGCGATGCATTTCCGGGCTCCCATCAGACTTCCTGAACATGTTTCCGTGCAAGTGGTGGTGGTCAGGGTAAGTACACTTGTTTGCTTATTCGATGTTATTGCCTTGCTATACAGGTATCTATTTATTTATTTATTTATTTTAAAAATGTATATTTCGCCCTTCTCACCCCAAAGGGGACTCAGGGTGGAGCACAGCATATATATGGCAAACATTCAATGCTGGGACACAAATTCTTATATATATACATAAATATTAAAAATATTCATCAAAATATTAAAATACACCATATAAAATATAATATAATATATTAAAATACAGGTAGTCCCCGAGTTGCAAACATCTGACTTATGTATGATTCACAGCTATGAACGGGTCTTTCCCCTCCTTCCCTGCCATGAAATATTCGTGTTGAGTCAAAGTGTGTCTGTATCTCTCCAAGTCCCCTTTCCTCTTTCTTCCTATATCTCCCCACATTCCTTTTTCTTCCTATTGATAGCTCTCCAAGCCCTCTTTCCTCTTTCTTTGTATTGATATTTCTCCAAGCTCCTTTCTCTTCCTTCATATCAATATCTTTCCACCCACCATTCCTTTTTTCCCCTATTGATATCGCCTTCATCCTCCCTGTATCTCTCCACCCTTTGTTCATATCTGACACCACTTTTATTTTCCCTGGCTCAATGTAATGCAATCCTGAGATTTGTAGTTTGAATAAGCAGCAATATTCTTTGGCAAAAAAAAAAAAAAAGACTCAAGACCTTGCAAAACGACAGCTCCCAAGATCTCATAGCAATGAACCAGGGCTGTCAAAGTGGTCTCAAACTGTATTCACTCCACAGCATAAATACACCCCGAGGAAACTGGGGCAGGATCAGCAGGAGAGACTCCTTGAAAGAAGGGTTATCTATTTCTATGGTTTGCCATCTATCAAAACAATTGCTGCTAAGTAGTTTTAAAGCCCTCTGTTTCACTTTTGTCCTTGCTTCTGGATGTGCACATTTCATAACTGACTAGCTGTGCCCTGCCACGCGTTGCTGTGGCCTTTAGTAAGAGTTTTGAAATCTCTGCCTGGCCTCTCTTCCTTCCTTCACTCGCCCTCTTTCCCTCTTTCTCTCTCTCACACTCCTTCCTTCCCCCCCCCCTCTCTCTCTCTGGCATCCCTCCTTCCTCCCCTTCTTTATGCTTGTGTGTAAACTTGAGTATCTTCTGTTGGTCATGGGGGTTCAGTGTGGCATGTTTGCCCCAATTCTGTCGTTGGTGGGGTTCAGGATGCTCATTGACTTTATGCTTGAGTATTTTCTGTTGGTCATGGGGGTTCAGTGTGGCATGTTTGCCCCAATTCTGTCGTTGGTGGGGTTCAGGATGCTCTTTGAGTGTTGGTGAACTCTGAATCCCAGTGACTACAACTCCCAAATGTCAAGGTCTATTTCCCTCAAACTCCATCTGTGTGGATATTTGGGCGTATTGAATGCTTTGGTCCGGATCCATCATTGTGTCTTCAAAGTCGCCCCCTCCCTTCTTCCCACCCCTTCCCTCCCTGAGTCACTCCTTCCCTCCTCCCACCCCCTCCGGAAAGACACGCCCCCTCCCTTCGCCCCACCCCTTCCCTCCCTGATTGACTCCTGGAAGGAAAGGGGTGGGGCGAAGGGAGGGGGCGTGTCTTTCCGGAGGGGGTGGGAGGAGGGAAGGAGTGACTCAGGGAGGGAAGGGGTGGGGAGAAGGGAGGGGGCGACTTTGAAGACACGCCCCCTCCCTTCGCCCCACCCCTTTCCTCCGTGACTCACTCCTTCCCTCCTCCCTCCCTCTCCGGTTAGACACGCCCCCTCCCTTCGCCCCACCCCTTTCCTTCCAGGAGTCAATCAGGGAGGGAAGGGGTGGGGCGAAGGGAGGGGGCGTGTCTTTCCAGTGGGGATGCGGCGCGGCGAGGCTTGGAGTGTGCGGAGCGGGGCTTGGAGGCAGCGTGGGAGGAGTAAGATGAAGGAGGGGGCGGGGGGAAGTTGCGTTGTTTGTTTGTGTGTGTGTGCTGTGGGGAAGTGCGGTGACGTGTTCGTGCTGGGCGGGGCGAAGGAGGGAGGGAAGTGCGTTAGCCGTTCGGCCATGTGTGCGCGCGCGCTGGGGACTTTGCGCCAGTGCGCATGCTCAGTTGTTTTGCCGTTTTTTCTGTGTGTGGTTGTGTTGTTTTGATTTCTGACTGGATTAGTTTGTACCTAGTGGGTTGTCCTTGGGACATGGCAATTTTGGTGGAGTTTTGTGGTGGGGTTTTAGAGTTTTGCTTCCCCGTTGGACGCCAGTAGGAAATGTATAGATATAGATGAAGCTATGTGCTATCTGGAGTACATATTTCTATGCTGTAGAGTTGCAATTGCGCCGTCTTGTGTGAGTCCTTTATCAATATTGGTCTTTCTCCGTGACTATATGATACTTCTTTTTCTCTGTGTATGGAATAAGGCTGTTACAACAATGGCAGGATAGATTGATGGCATAAACTGGCAGAGTCCCCAAGAAACGCAGCATGTTTTTTGAGCCTAGGCAAAATGTGAAAGATTAATGCTTCTCCCTTCCTTTGGGGGTTTATTTCTCATTTAAAGCTGTGCTCACTTTGGACTGAAACCAATAGCGTGTCTCCCGGCATTCCAGTTTAACAACCTTGTGCTTACAAAGACGTTTTTCTGCTTTGTTGTCTCTATTTGTCATCAGAGAAAATGAATCTGTAGCAGGAAATACAGTTTGCGTAGCAACAATCCATTTGTCAGCCATTCCCCTCCTTTTACAATAACTTTAGAAAAGTACCACTAGATGGTGCAAAGAGTACTTTGAAGGAGAGATGAAGTTATTGTCTCACCTGCATTCCTTGTGTGCAAAATACAACAGGTTTGGGATGGAGCCTTGATGTATTTGCATAAAGTCCTGTGTGCCAACATTATGCATCCCAGGAGAAAAATGAGTCAGTTCAGTTTGGAGTGGTGCTTTTCCCTCTCTCTCCTTTGGGGATCATCAAATAATATTCAGGGCTTTCATCCAGTTAAGAAATATTTAGTTGATACCAATTGCAGCTCATGTTATTTATTTTATCCATATGCTGCTACTATGGATTATTTTGAAAGAAAGTGCATGCTTTTTATTTTTGACTAGCTGTACCCGCCACGCGTTGCTGTGGCCAACCTTCCCTCTTTCTCCCCTTCTTTCCCTCCTTCCGTCACTCCCTCTTTCCTTCCTTCCTTCCTTCCCGTCTTTCCTTCTCTTCTTCCTTCCTTCTCTATCTCTTTCCTTCCTTCCCCCTTTTTCTTTCTCTTCTGCCATCTCTCTTCCTTCCTTCCTTCCTTCCTTCCTTCCTTCTCTACCCTTCTTTTTTTCTTCCTTCTCTCCTTCCTTCCTTCCTTCCTTCCTTCCTTCCTTCCTTCCTTCCTTCCTTCCTTCCTTCCCCTAACTTTCCTTCCTTCCCCCTTTTTCTTTCCGTCCCTCTTTCTCTCCTTTTCTACCTCTTTCCTTCCTTCCTTCTCTCTTTGCTTCTATGCTTCCTTCTCCCTTTCCTTCTTTCTTTCCCTCCTTCTTTCTTTCTTTCTTTCTTTCTTTCTTTCTTTCTTTCTTTCTTTTTTTCTCCCCTTCCCTCCCTCTTTCTTCCCTTTTTTCTGTATTGTCATTCATCATTTAGCTTTTTGGGGCTTTTTAAGTCCTTTCTGCTGTGTTTTTCAGTGTTTTTATGAGTGAAGGACATACATTGGGTGGTTAGGTGTATTGTGTCCAAATTTGGTGTCAATTCTCCCAGTGGTTTTTGAGTTCTGTTAATCCCACAAACGAACATTACATTTTTATTTATATAGATTTATGGTGATGCATGAATTAAATTAAGTAGCTTCTGGTTTAGCTGATCCTATGTGCCTACTCAATTAAATCCATGCATCACTATACATAATAAACCTTCAATATGTTGTTGAAGGCGTCCATGGCTGGAATCACTGGGTTGCTGTGAGTTTTCCAGGCTGTATGGCTATGTTCCAGAAGCATTCTCTCCTGATGTTTCGCCCACATCTATGACAGGCATCCTCAGAGGTTGTGAGGTTTGTTGGAAGCTAGGCAGTTCAGTTTTATATATCTGTGGAATGTCTTTCTCCCACCCTTGGCATCCCACAGATATATAAACCGCACTGGCTTAATTTTTAGGATCCCGTATTATTTCTCCTTTGACATCCCAATAAGGCTGATTTCCAATCTTCTTCCTGTTTACTAGAAACGAGAAGGGCTACTCCAGACAGCCCATGTCACAGAGGAACTCACCACCACTACAGAGTAAGTAGAGAAATTCTTATTTGTTTGCCATTGTATGGCTAGCACAAGCACACACAATCAAAAAGTAGCATAACCACAAAGATGAATAGTGTTGAATATTTGTTGCCATTCTATGTTGTAGACATTATACATGATCAGCATCCCTAAATTCATAAATGTGGGGCCAAAAGTAATTGAATATTGCAAATGCAATCGCAGTTTAAGCCCTGATATTTATATTTTGGCAACAGTACAACAGATTTATACTCAATTTAACACATATGTACTGTCCCATAAGCAGAGGCGGCTCAACACGGTACACAAATTACGCTTTTGCGTATAGTGCACGTCTCGGGGGGGGCGCTCTTGAGGAGCTCTTGAGGTGCCCCTACCCCGAAGAACACTAAGAGGCAGCTCGCTCTCCCTCCCTCCTTCCCTCACAAGTGCCCATTGGGCCTCTCCTCACAGGGCAAGGGAGACAAAAACGCCAGTGTGCGTCCCTCTCCAGGTTTTAGGAAGTGCGGGAGAAGGAGGGGTAATGCAGGGTGCGCACTTCCTAATGCTGGGAAAGGGATGTACAGCAGTGTTGCTGGGCACACACACACACACACATATATATGGATGGCATGGGACAACTTCGGCCCTCCATGTGTTTTGGACTTCAACTCCTACAATTCCAAACAGCCAGTAGGAAGTCCCAAATACCTGGAGGGCCAAAATTTGTCCATGCCCCTATATATATATATATGGTTTTGGGGGTATATATATATATATATGATTGGTTTGGGGGGGGGGCGCCAAAATACTGTTTGCTTACCATTGAAAATTACCTAGGGCCGCCTCTGCCCATAAGGGCCAAGTATCCAATGACATGTCAATGCAGTATCTGATGGTGGGACTCTTCTGTCTGCACTGTTTCGTTGTTTTGCAACATTTGGATTTAAATTTATAAATAAAAGATACAAAGCAGGTGGAAATGCATAAGGTTTTCCTTTTTGTTTCATCCTAAAGCAATAATTGAAAATCCTGCTAGTTTACTCGAGGTGAAAAGGGCCTACTCCTTATTTTTGGCAAGTGCAATTCCTGTCCTCCCTCGTTGGCCCCTTCTACACTGTCCTTATATCCCAGGATCCGATCTCAGGTTATCTGCTTTGCACTGGATTATCTGAGTCTCCACTGCCATATTATCTGGGATAAGCAAATAATATGGTATCAGATCCTGAGATATAGGGATGGTGTAGAAGGGGCCATTGCTCCTCTTTTTCTCAACACAGCCCGCAAGTACACCTGCTCCCTTAGTGTTTTTTTATTAGAACAAACCTATAACTTGTAAGAGTTACTCAAGCAGTAACAGCAGTTAGAATAATTCATGAAATAAAATCAGTTACAACTCTCTTTTGGGCATTATGCTTTCTTTAAAAAATGTGTAGCGACATTGGCTTTGTGTTTGGAGGGAGAAATTACTTATTTAATTTTGAACTCTTAGTAAAGTGAATCATCTAAGCGTTTTCTTAAAACTCTGGTTTGCAGGATGATGATGGGAAGATTTGGTAAGTAACAGACTTAAATTGGATCTTGAAGGAAGTTATTTTTCTGTTCTAACAGAGTAAAATTTTATTACCAGTCTTGATTTGCTTTTTGTCCCCCGGTCATGATGGAAGATTGAGATCCCTCCAGACCATCTTAACTGACAACAGAAAATAACAGCTGAGATTAAATGTAGACCTGTGACCCTTAACATTGTGACTTTTCTCTGCCTGTATTATTTTTAACGCCTTTTCTTAATGAGAAGCCAATGAAGCTTTGAAAGCTTGCATGATGCATTTTGTGAATTTTGGTTGACCAGCAAACGCATGACACTTTTGTGAATTTTGATTTTTTAAATATCATCCAGCATGGCCAATGCAGCAATCCCTGAATATGTTCCTAATCTATATAAATAAAAATGTAATGTTCGTTTGTGGGATTAACATAATTCAAAAACCACTGGACAAATTGACACCAAATTTGGACACAAGACACCTATCAGGCCAATGTATGTCCTTCACTCAAAAAAATTGATTTTGTCATTTAGGGGTTGTAGTTGCTGGGATTTATAGTTCACCTACAATCAAAGAGCATTCTGAACTCCACCAAAAATGGCAGTGAACCAAACCAACAGAAAACACTAGAAGGGTTTGGTGGGCATTGACCTTGAGTTTGGGAGTTGTAGTTCACCTGTGTCCAGAGAGCACTATGGACTCAAACAATGATGGATCTGGACCAAACTTGGCACAAATATTCCATATGCCCAAATACGAACACAGATGGAGTTGTGGGAAAATACACCTTGACATTTGGGATTTGTAGTAACTGGGATTTATAGTTCATCTACAATGAAAGAGCATTCTGAATCCCACAAACGACAGAATTGGTGCAAATTTCCCACACAGAACCCCCATGACCAACAGAAAATACTTAAGGCCATCCAGTCCAACTCTCTTCACCAGGGCAAGAAAATGTAATCAGAGCCATCCAGTCATAAATATATATAGATAGATATGATTCACACACACATACAGATACAGTATTTGAAAGGGACCCCTAAAGAAGAACAATAATATGTTCCATGATCCCGAGTAGGCAAACCAGACTCTCTCCACATCAACACTGACAAAGAAACAACAAGACTATTTACCCACAAGCTTAAAGAAATTACATATATTAGAAACCATCACTTTCTCATTACTTTATTTTCGAGATCACTAGACTGGGCCACAGCAACATGTGGCAGGGGGCAGCTAGTTGTATTATAGATATAAAAAAGGGATTTTAAAAAGTGTAGGTAAAAACCATTGTAACCTTTCATGTAACCTTTCATTGAGTCTCCTGCTATCTTGGATTCCCTTAAGGATGTGCCTATCTTGCTTTCATGAACTCTCACTTACTATTTTTATTTGCATTGTGATGCATTACATTGTATTCTGAAAAATAAATTCCTCACTTTTCTTTCTTAAATTAGAGCGAGATGCGTTTGATACACTCTTTGACCATGCTCCCGATAAACTAAGTGTCGTAAAAAAGGTAAAGTTTTCTTTGTAATTAGTGGGAAAGCAGGAGAGATCCTTCATTCCTTGTAGATAACAAGGGGTTGTTTTTGTCAGCCTTGGTCTCCTGGCTTGTGAATGAGGAAGAATGGGTTTTTGAATTTATGTTATTTTAAAATGAAGTATTACTATAGCATTGTATTGGCGTTGCTGAATGTTAGTTAAGGCACTCTACCACCCCCTTCCCTGTAAATAAGTACATCCTATTCTTTAAAGATAGACAGAATATCTTTTATACCACATCCAAGGATGTTCACTGGAATTTCAGTATTGTTGCTGTCGCTGAAAATTGGTTCTCTGAAGCCATTTAGCACATGGAAGATGAGAATGTATGTGGGGAAAGGAGTCATTCTTTGATCTTATCATCCTCAAATGAGTAATATTAAACATTGCAATACAGCTGGCTCTCCACAGTCACAAGGTTTAGAGTCCCACCCTACTCCCCCCCCCCAAAAAATGTGGAAAAACCACAGATACAAGGGTTGAATGAAAAGTAATGCCTCCACCTTCATTACTTGCATTTGGATGGGAATATTTTAATAAATCAAACACAGAAATAATCCTTAGAACGTGCTATTTAACTTTCTTGAAATTTCTCTGAGAGATACGACGATCGTCCTGAATCAATCTGTCAACCTTTGCTTGTGAAACTCAGTGGTTGCTGTCACAGGACATCCAACTCTTTGTTTGTTAAGCTAGTCTGATGTTCCCACCTCAACATCTTTAAACTTACTCGCCCAACGACACACAATACTCACATCAACACAATCACCATAAACAGTTTGCATTTGCTGATGAATCTCCTTTGGGGTGACACCTTCTGCTGTCAAGAATTCAATGACTGCATGTTGCTTAAGTCGCATTGACCAACCGTCTGCGCAGGGTTCCATACTTTGCACTTTAACAACACAACCATTCAATGCTAAGGCTTCCTGTCAAAATGGAACTGTAGAGGAGAGTCTACTGAACAAGGCAGTACCTGCCGCATACCAGTACTGTCATCTGTTGAGTTACGAAGGTGGAGGCATTACTTTTCATTCAACTCTCGTACTATACAGTGGGATATCCCTCGGCCCCATTTGTGGTGAGCAGGAAGAATGTGAGCCTGGCATTGGCCCTGCAACCACTATTCCCCTTGGGAACATGTCAGAGGCTGTCTGTCCTTGGAGACGGCAGCCAGGGGGTGAGAACTGTTCACTTCCCCATCTTTGGGAAACAGATGTAGTGCATCTGTCATTTGTACAGCTTTCCCAACCTCCAGAGGTAACCAAGATGATGTGAGCTCACGAACCACAAATGTAAAGTCATTGAATATGGAAACCCAACTGTATACACCAGGGGTCCTCAAACTTTTAAAGCTGAGGGCAAGTTCATGGTCCCTCAGCACACTTCCACACATACCTAAAGCTCATGCCAAAATAGGTTAAAGTAACCCGCTTCAGAACAGTTTCTAGTTCCCACCCCAACCGTTTAGATGCCTCTAGTAACACCAAGACAGGTCCTGCATTTTGGGCATGCCTGGATGGAGGTGGAGTTTGGAAAAAAAATGAATTAATTCCTATACACATTGCACAGACCTTGAGTCCCTACGGGGAGAAAGGCAGGGTATAAAGTAATAAAAAGTAAATAAATAAATTTGTAGTGCAAAAGAAAAACATGAAAGAACAATATAATATTTGAAATGAAGAAAAACCAACATAAACCTACCAGTGTTTCAATGGGAAGTGTAGGCAGGCTATTGACTGATGAAATAGTCAAGTTTATTAGGATTGTTGTTATTGTGTGACTTCAGGTTGTTTCAGACTTAAGGCAACCCTAAATTTAGGGTGGAGGCTAGGTAAAGGACTTTGGAGGGCTGCAACTGGCTAAGGGGCCTTAGTTTGGGGACCCCTGGTATATGCCATATGATCACCATTGTCTGAAATGCATTAAAAAAAACCCAAAAATCCCAAGATATATTCAGCTATGTTAAAATTCTCCTGTGGCTATTTCCCCCCATATTTTATGTCCAAATTTAGAAGATATTGTTGGATTATTATTTTGATCATTTTCTCAGCAGTGCTTTTCTTTAAACGCTTTGCAATCTAAATGTTTGAAGCTTGTATTCTGGCCAGCGCAAAGATAAACTGAGGAATGAAATTTTGTTTTATTGAGTCTAATAATTGGATGATGGAAATGGAAAGCTCTGGGATCATTCACCATGAGTTGCTATGTAATAATCACCCTTGGCTTTCTGGTCCATCTGTAATAGAAAGGAAAAATAACATAATAATAATAATAATAATAATAATAATAATAATAATAATAATAATAATCTTTATTTATACCCCACCACCATCTCCCTAATGGGGACTCGGGGCGGCTTACATGAGGCCAAGCCCGAATAACATATTACAGCAAAATAAAACCAAAAACATAAGCAACAAGCAACAACATCATAATTACATAAAAACATATGAATACATTAACAATATAACATTACAATAAACACAACCACAGTGACAGTGGGCAGGCCACATGTACAGGATAAAATGTTAAAAAACTTGGATGAGATAAGAAGAGGGGCAAGTTATTTGCAAGAGGGAGCTCATAAAAAACACAGAGTTGTGGAACCAAACTTTCCCACAAGGGGGGGGGGTGCGTGTACTCCAGTGACAGAAGCGTTGAGGGGAGCAGTTGTGTCATGTTGTGTACCTACTCACCAAAGGCACAGCAGAAGAGCCAGGTTTTAAGGTTCTTTTTAAAGGTTTCTAGAGTAGGGGCATTCCTGGTTTCTCCAGGTAATGAGTTCCAGAGTTGGGGAGCCACAGAGGAGAAGGCTCTTATTTCACAGACTATGGGTATATGGGCCCATTTAACCCAAAACCGCTTATTTGTAAGTCTTCCTGAGTTGTGCTATTAGTATTGAACCGCTGTGAGTCGCCTTTGGGCTTGAGATACAGCGGTATATAAGCAAAGTAAAGTAAATAAATATTCAATTTTACTTAGTAATGGGAAGGGCTAGGGTACTTGAATACATATCTCCTCTGTATTATTGAAGGCTTTCACAGCCAGAATCATTGGGTGTTGTGTGGTTTCTGGGCTGTATGTCTGTGTTCTAGCAGCATTTTTCCTGATGTTTTGCCTGCATTTGTGGCTGGAGTCTTTAGAGGGCCCTCTTCAGAAGATCCTCGGAAGATGCCACCCACAAGTGCAGGCGAGAGGCCAGAAGAAAATACTGCTAGAACATGGCATACAGCCCAGAAACTACACAACACCGTATATCTTTCATTCAGCTATCGTAGACATCTGCAAAACTTACAAATGCAAAGAGAGCTGCACCCCATATGGGTTTCCTTTTTCAGATCTAAAGACAGGAATCCAGGTTCAGAGTTCAGATTAATGTAGAGATTACTACATTCAAATATTCAAAGGATGACTAAAAGAGCAAGCATAGTATATGTGCCCTCTCTTTGTAGAAAGTCCACATTTTTGTCTTGTTCATGATCAAACATATTTTGGACATTTTTGAAGGACTGAAAAATGAACATAGGGATTGATGGAGTCTGTATAGCACACTTTGGAGGTCAGTCCATAACTCAGTGTTTAAGGCAAATTAGTCTATGCTTAAGATTCCATATGGAAATGCTTTGAACTCCATTTGGAATCGCTCTACCTGACCCTTTGAAGAGCCACTCACACTCCAACTGGACTCTCCTTGGTTAGTTTATTTATTTACCATATTTATATACCGCCTTTCTCAGCCCGAAGGCGACTCAAGGTGGTTTACAATTGGCATAATTCAATGCCCCCAACAACATAAAATATAGTTAAAATATTAACATATAGTATAAACCATATAAAAACAATAAAAGCAATAAAACACAATAAAACACAAATCCTCAGCGTCTCATTACTAAAATCATGTTCCAGTCGCATTGTCCAATCGTTCCATGTCCTAACAGTGTAATGCAGTTATTAGAACAGAGATTGTATCTCTATCACATCACTTTCATGAGTCTGAAACAGTTTTGCTGCAGTTGAAGTTGTGTGGTTCTCATATGATACCTGTCGATAGATTGACCCTAATTTGGGTCAATTTTTCGACTGATATTTCTAGAGTTATACATGAATACACATAGTAGTTTTCAATACAGAGTTTTCTTGCTGTTCTAAATCTAGCTGCTTGGAAACTACAGATATGTGTTGCATAATTTCCAATATCTATAATATATTACTTAATTGGCTGACCGAAAAAGAACAGGTTAAAGATTGTATGATAAAATGGGCCCAAAATTTAAGAAGACCAATCCAAATGAAAAAGTGGGAACAAACGTGGAACAAAAAATTAAAATATACTTATGCAACAGATTTAAAAGAAAACTGGATAAAATTGTTCCACAGATGGTATACCACACCAAAACAATTTGCTAAAATGTATACATCAGTCTCGGACAAGTGCTGGAAATGTAAGGATCAACTTGGATCCTTTTACCACATGTAGTGGACATGTAAGGTAGCAATTAAATACTGGACAAAGATACATGAAGAAATGCAAAAGATTCTTTAAAAAAGTTTTATGAAAAAACCAGAATATTATCTATTAGGATTTACAGACTTGGACTTACAATTAAATAAACAAGAAGATAAACTTTTTACATATATTACGACAGCCACTAGGATTGTTTTTGCAAGGGAATGGAAACAAGAATCAATTCCACCTATAGAAGAGTGGATAGGGAAAATTACAGAAATAAAGGATATGGATGAACTGACTTTTTTGTTGAAGAAAAACACGGGAAATATTTTAAATAGGACAAATTGGGATCCTCTCAATGACTATCTAGAAAATAAAATTAAAAAAACACGAGAAACATTTTTTTTTTGAAGTATAAAATTTTTATGAGAGAAAGACAATATCCAAGAAGATGGAATGGAAGTCATTTTTTGTTTTTTTGTTTTTATTTTTATATTTTTATTTTTGTTTTGTTTTGTTCTTTTTTTATCTTTTTTGATCTACGGTATTTTCTTTATATGTTTTCACATGTCTCTTCTCTTTTCTCTCTTCTTTTCTTTTACTTTTATTGTTCTCACTCTTTCGTTGTACTATAGAAAATATAATACAATTATTTTTTAAAAAAAGATATGTGTTGCATAAGAAGATTTTAGACGTCTTTGGAGTGTACGAGCTTTTTGTCCACATGAATGATGTGGAGAATGCGTACATTGCATTTGTAAGCAAGGGAAAAAAAGAAAACAAAACTATATTGGGTGAAGTGGTTACCATTTAATTGAATTCCAAATTTATCAAGAATGCTAAAAGACCATAATAAACAATGCAAGCAATGAATATTGCTGGTTGTGTATTTTAATATGCCTAGCTATTTGTTACTTATTTTCTCCTTTGATCACCTTCCTTTTTTAGTCTCTAATCACATTTGTAAACAAACACCTCAACAAATTGAACTTGGAAGTGACAGAATTAGAAACCCAGGTAAGAGATAGTAGAAATACTGAGAGCCATATTATATGCACACATGCTACTTGTATTATATGTTTAGGCACATATATTATTTTGAACTTCCTTTGAAGAGTGTTCTGAAAATCCAGTTGGCCCAAAGAGCTGATTTTATGGAGTGCTGCCATATCATCCTTTATACTGGTAACAACTGTTTTTATACTTGTCATTGGTTTGTTTAAAGTTGGTTCTTAGTTGTTATATTATCCTTGACAAAGTAGCTTTAATGTAATATGTAAACAGCATTTTGTCAAGAAATGGAATCTCATCAGAAGGATTTACCTATAAGATAATATTGGGTACAGAGTAGACATCAAAGCTAAATATTCTAATAAGATAAGACTATTGTGAATTTTGTTTTTTATACAGCAGCACCTTGATAGCATAAGTGAGTAAATGTATTCACCATGAGAGCATTGCATTTGAAGCTCAAGTGGATATTTAATTGAGTGATTCCTTGGGAATCTATTCCGTTAGGTTCCATTTTGTGTTCTTCCTCACTTGAATTTTAAATGGGATAAGAGTGACTTGTGAAAGGTCTGCAAACATCTAGTGGTGTTAAATATTTTCTCCGGAGACAAGGTGCACTGTAGTCTACATCAGAGCTTCTGAAACTGGGTCCCAACCCCAAATGGGATTTCCTTACCTTGATCTTGGGGTCTGATTTCTTTTTTGTTATTTAAGGATTGCACCTTAATCAGGGACATAGTTTTACTACACCCTTGTATATCAAAAGATTTGAGCATCTGTGGGTTTTGTTATCCATTGTTGGTCCTGGAACGAAATCCTAGTTGATACTGATGTTCACTAAGGACTTTAGTTTTTATATACTTGGAAGTTAGGCTTGCACTAATTACTTTTACTGTGGTACAGTAGGCCTACTGTATCCATGGATTTAACTACCCAGTATTTTTTAAAAGTTTGATTTTTATACCTGTTTTATATACCCAGGTGTAAAGAGGCCACCAATTTGTAACAATGCCACCAATTTGTAAAAGTTTGTAAAGGAGCCACCACTTTGTAAGGACTTACTAAATTGATAACATAACTAATAGCTTGTAATGTTGATTTGGTCTTTCTTCATTGTGTAGCGTGGCTAAACTTGAAAGTATTTTTAACAAAGACTTGGCTTTAGAAGAAACTGTAACAGGTTTATTGAAATATAGAAGAAGCTTGATGGTTTCAATGTTTCTTAACTCTTAGAGGCACATTTCTTCAGAGGTTACATTTAATACATTTCATAAAACAACTCTTAAGAGGACTATTCCTTTCACTAAACAGATTTTGAACTTATTTTCTTTCAAAATGTGTTTCTTTCTTTGACAGATTACTTCAGGTACAAGCTTATTCTTTCCTTATGTTATTTCTGTTGCAGTAAAGATTTTTATTAGGGTTATCTCCCTCTTTTGTTCATACACTGATTATTAATATAAATAAGTCAACTCGACCTATCTAAACTACACAGGCTAAAAGCCAAAATCTTCCTGATTCTCAACACAACAGAACCAGCTTTCCCTGTAGTTCGCTGATTACAGACTAACTGTTTTAAAATGGCTGCCCTGCCAAGTGGCAGTTGGCTCCGCCCCTTTTTCCATGGCAACCCAGCTCAAAGTGAGCTGAGCTGGCTACCACTCCCCCCCCCCCAGTTATGCTAATTTAAACACCTATTTATAATTATACATAACTGTAGATTAAAATTCACACTTCACCACACCAGGGTTATGTAAAAAATTATTGGGCAAAAATGGGTTGTAAGTTGGAGAAGCTTTTGAAGCTCTGTGTTATTCCTTCTGTACTTTTTTACAAATTCTGATTGACTCCTCTTTTGGTTCTTCTGGAAGTTTCACTGGTATTTCTCTTCAGTTTGCAGATGGCGTATACCTCGTGTTGCTTATGGGCCTTCTCGAAGACTACTTCGTTCCTCTCCACAATTTCTATTTAACACCAGAGAGCTTTGATCAGAAGGTGAGTAAAAATCCCAATGAGCCAACTTCCCTCTGCTGCATTCTATGAGCGGATATTTTCTACTTTTCCCTATTTTATGTTTTCCACTCAGAGCAAAGTAAACCATTAAGCTTTCCTAATGACTGCAGATAATTCTTCATTGTTAACATTTATAGTTGTCTGAAAATGTTCTGTGACACATAGCCATGAATGTTAAACATTATTAGCAGCCCAGCAGCTAATAAATCCCAATAGCGCATCCGGCAGCTTTAAGCTTGAGTACCCGATGATGTCTGTGTTATTTGAAAAAGGCATTGTTTATTTTTAGATGTTAGGTAATATCAGTTTGGTAATTTTAACATTATTTATTAGAAAAAAGTCAGTCTTTGCTTTTGTTTTTTAAATGAATTCTCCCATTAGAAAATGCATAAGGATGCGAGTGAACTGTAATTTCCAAAAATTCAAACTTGGCCATTTTTGGTCTTTGTGTCAAGTTTGGTCCAGATTTGGTTCACAATACTCTCGGGATGTAGGTGAACTACAACTGCTATATATCTCCCCAAAGACCTTGAGTATTTTTTGTTGATCATGGGGGATCTGTGTGCCGAGTTAGTTCCAGGTCCATCACTGGTGGGGTTCATTGCAGGGGAACTATAAATCCCAGTACCTACAACTCCTATACATCAAGATCAACTCTCCCCCATACCTCTCCAGAATTTTTTGTTGGTCATGGGGGTTCTGTGTACCAAATGGGGTCCAGGTCCATTGTCTGTGCAAGGTGAACTACAACTGTGCAAGGTGAACTACAACTTCCATCACATTGAGTCAGTCCTCCAAACCCCTCTAGTATGTTCAGTTGCCGATCAATTTCTCTCTGTTTGCTGTGTGTCATAGAGAAGAGTAGGAAAGGGTTATGGGAGACACAGTGGGCAGGATCTCCATACCAATGGAGAGACTAAGAAACACTGAGATATCTATGGTGGAGGAAAAACATAAAGTCTAAGAGGAAATTTGTCTCTGAATGAAAGCATTCACTTGCTGGTGGGGAGTATTGTGTTTGTGGAGGACATTGGCAAGCCTCTTGTACATGTTCATGGCGCTCGCTATAACTTGCAATGTCATTGGAGGGAGGGCCATTGGTGTCTCCTGAGTCAGGCCCATAGCCAGGATTTTGATTGGGGGGGGGAGGTGAGTTTAATTTGGGGGGGTGAGTTTGGTTCGGGGGGGGGGGCTCAGGATCTACCTTAGCAAACCTTTTGCATCATTATCCCAATACCCCCATGCATATGGGATATATTGAGCATGGTGATCAAATCATGATATGAATAAACGTAACAGTTTAAATAATGTACCAGTAAGGCCTTCTCGTGGACCACCCTGAGAATTTGGGGGGGGGGCTGAAGCCCCTCAAGCCCCCCCCCCCCGGGCTATGGGCCTGTCCTGATTGGTGGAAATTATAACTGTTTGTGGAAGTGGGAGCCTGTCTGTGGAAGTGGACACCCCAGTGACACACACTCACACATATATATTCACTTTTATTATGTATATATTGGTGTGTGTGTGTATGCATGAAAGAGAGAAAAAGGGAACCCTAAAGATAAAGTAGCAAAATCATGTATGTGCAGGTGTAGTGTCTATGCACTGCCAAAACTTGTTGTGACATTGTACTTGACGCCTTAAAATTTAACTGAATATTTTGGACAGTTGGCTAAATAGGGCCAAGTTTCAGGTTGGCATTTTAAAAGAAGCAAAAGTGGGACAGGCATCTAATCAGAAAATCGCCATGGATGCTTCAAAATGTTAAAGTGTGTTGTGGTTGCTGTGCAAGTAGCAATGTTCAGTTTCAAGATGAAAAGTTTTTATTCTGAAATGAGTGTTCCTAGAACCAAACGGGGCTATCATATCCCATTGGGACATTATAATACAGGGATCCTTAAACAGAGGGCCAGGTCACAGTCCCTCAAACTGTTGGAAGGCCAGATTATAATTTGAAAAAAGCATGAATGAATTCATATGTACACTGCACATATTTTATTTGTAGTGCAAAAAAAAAACCACTTAAAAATAATACAATAATAAAAATGAAGAACAATTTAAACAAATGCAAAGTTATTAGTATTTCAATAGGAAGTGTGGGCCTGCTTTTGGCTGATGAGATGGGATTGTTGTTGTTGTTGTTGTGTGCTTTCAAGTTGATTCAGACTTAGGTTGACCCTGAGTGAGGGCCGGGTAAATGACCTTGGAGGGCCGTATTCGGCCCTCGGGCCATAGTTCGAGGACCCCTGCCTTAATGTAAGGATTTTTTTTATATACTCGGTTGCCGAAAAGACTGTATCCAAAAAAGGTGTTCATATTCTCTGTCATGCTTATATAGGTAGCAAATGTTTGTTTTGCTTCATCCATAGTATTAAGTAAATAAAACATTAAGCCATAGATCAGGGGTCCTCAAACTTTTTAAACAGAGGGCCAGTCCCTCAAACTGTTGGAGGGCCAGATTATAATTTGAAAAAAGCATGAATGAATTCCTATGCACACTGCACATACTTTATTTGTAGTGCAAAAAAAAAAACCAAACACTTTCAAACAATACAATGATTTAAATGAAGAAAAATTTTGACAAATATAAGCTTATTAGTATCTCGATGGGAAGTGTGGGATTGTTTTTGGCTGATGAGATAGGATTGTTGTTGTTGTTGTGTGCTTTCAAGTCGATTCAGACTTAGGTTGACCCTGAGCTGAGGGCCAGGTAAATGACCTTGGAGAGCCGTATCCGGGCCTCGGGCCTTAGTTTGAGCCATAGAATAGAATCATAGAATTTGCAGGGATTTGCCTTTGGTTAGAATGGTGGTGGTTAAGCATGGATTTTAGGAACAATTAACTCATAGGGAAGGGAAGTGTGTGCTGTTTTTATTGCCCAGCTCACTGCACTAAAGCAATTTTAATTAAATTCTGCCCTCTCAGTGCCAATGTAATGTCACAAGAAGTGGCCGTAAAAACTATGCGTGTGTGCGTGCATGAACAAGAAAAAAAAATCCTGAATCAGACTGCAGAAAGGAATTTATCTGTTCTGCAGTCCTGCTCCAGGAAAATTATTACTGATTACAAACAATGGACCAGGTTTATTGTCGAAAGCTTTCATGCCCGGAATCACTGGGTTGTTGTAGGTTTTTTGGGCTGTATGGCTATGTTCTGGAAGCATTCTCTCCTGATGTTTTGCCTGCATCTGTGGCAAGCTTCTGAGGATGCTTGCCACAGATGCAGGCGAAACATCAGGAGAGAATGCTTTTAGAAAATGGCTATACAGCCTGAAAAATCTACAACAACCCAATGGACTAAGTTTTCTGCAATATATTATTATTAGGGTCTCCATTCTGCTTGTTGTATGTTTCTTCACTTATCATGAATGAGGCCTTCAAGTTTGCATGGGCATTGTTCATTATAAATAAAATAACTACGAACTAATTTAGGTATCAAAGCCGCTTGAAGCAGCAAATATATTGAAGATCTCACTTTTTGCAGCATTTACATCATTTGGCAACCAAAAACAAATATGCAGCTATCTCATGTCATATTGCTTTTCCTGAAATTTACCTGTTTCATACATGGCAGGGACATTAATTTCCTGTCTAATGTTCCTATTCACATATAAATGGCTTCTTGCCAATAGAAAGCTAGCTTGCCATCAGCCTAGTATGCTAATTTTCCAAATACCAATGCTAATTTTCCAAATTCCAAATACTCTTTAAAAAAATCACAAGGGATCCATCATATGTTTGCTTGAGTACCACCCGCAGGGTCAAACCCAAAGACATTTCTGTTACCTTTGTTTTGTGATACTGTAAAACAGTGGTTTTCAACCTTGCTAATGCTGTGACCCCTTAATGCCATTCCATATGTTGTGATGACCCCCAACCATAATATTGTTTTTGTTGCTACTTGATAGCTGTCATTTTAGTATGGTTATAAATTGTAATGTAAATATCCGATATGCAGGATATATTTTCATTCACTGGACTAAATTGAGCACAAATACCCAATATGCCCAAATGTGAATGCTAGTGGGTTTGGAGGGGGGGGGGAGGATTGATTTTGTAATTTGGGAGTTGTAGTTGCTGGGATTTATAGTTCACCTATAATCAGAAAGCATTCTGAACTCCACCACTGATGGATTTAAACCGAACTTGGCACAAAGAACTCCCATGACCAACAGAAAACACTGGAAGGGTTTGATGGGTATTGACCTTGAGTTTGGGAGTTGTAGTTCACCTACATCCAGAGAGCACTGTAGACTCAAACAATGATGGATCTGAACCAAACTTGGCACGAATATTCCATATGTCCAAATATGAATACAGATGGAGTTTGGGTGAAATAGACCCTGACATTTGGAGGTTGTAGTTACTGGGATTTATAGTTCACCTACAATCAAAGAGCATTCTGAACTTGACCAACAATAGAATTGGGTCAAACTTTCCACACAGAATCCCAATGACCACTAGAAAATACTATTTTCTGATGGTCTTTGGCGACCCCTTTGACACCCCCTCATGACCCCCTCAGGGGTCCCGACCCCCAGGTTGAGAAACACTGCTGTAAAATGTAGTTTGGGAGCAGCCAAGTTCTTGTAGTTTCCAGCACATGCTCTACATTAACGGTTCCGGCCCAAGATACCTATCTGACCGCATCTCGGCCTATGAGCCCACGAGGACTTTGAGATCGTCCGGGGAGGCCCTGCTCTCGATCCCGCCTGCCTTACAGGCACGCCTGGCGGGGACGAGAGACAGGGCCTTCTCGGTGGTGGCTCCTCGGCTGTGGAACACCCTTCCCATGGAAATCAGACTGGCGCCCTCCCTGATGACATTCCGCAAGAAACTAAAGACGTGGCTGTTCGAGAAAGTGTTCGAACAAGAAGTGCAATAATTTGGTAATGACGACAGGAATGGAACAACGGAAAACGATATTGGATTGTGGTTTAACGATGAGATGATGCGAATGACTTTGTATTTTTGTATTACTGATATTGAGATTGTTGATGTTGTTGATGACGATGTTTTTGATATTACTAGTTGTTGTTAGATTATGTCTTGTAATTTGCACCTATCCTCTCCATGTTGTACACCGCTGTGAGTCGCCCCTGGGCTGAGAACAGTGGTCTATAAGCACAGTAAATAAATAAATCAATCAATCAATCAATCATGCAAACTGAACATTATCACACATGAAAGTAGGAGACAGATAAGCTCGTTAAAAAAAAAGTACTATTTGACAAATCGCATCTCCCTCTACAGACCAGCTCAGACACTGCAGTCATTGGAGGAGGTCCTCCTCTCAGTTCCACCCCCGTCCCAAGCACGGCTGGTGGGAACGAGAGAAAGGGCCTTCTCCGTGGCTGCCCCCCACCTCTGGAACTTCCTTCCTAAGGAGTTAAAGATGGCCCCCTCCCTCCCCGCTTTCAAAAAACAGCTGAAGACATACCTTTGCTCACTGGCTTACGAGGAAGAGGAATAGTAATTGGTAATAATACCATTATACCTCTGATTAATTGTTGCCATCTGTATCCCTGCCCTGCTCACCACACCAGCTCAATAGATATCTTGAGCAATGATTAATCGATTTGCCCCAAAGAAATGGGAAATTATTGTTTCTATTTGATGTTTGATGCTTTGTCTTATGTCTGTTATAACAGGCTGTGCTTTTTATTTAATTCTAGTCTGTTAAGTTATAATTCGTATTTATATGTTAGGTTGTATAGCTTTTGTTAGTATGGATGAATTGTTGTTGTATTCGGGCATTGAATATTTGCCTTTTATGTTTGGAATCAGCCCTGAGTCCCTTTGGGGAGATAAAGTGGAATATAAATAATAAAAGGTTTTTTATTATTATAAAGTTTTATTATAAGTTATCTTGCTAAAACAGACAAATCATTTGTCGTGTGAACTCACTTAAGGTTCCTGTGGAAAATGCTTCCTGGTAAGTGCAGGCTATGCTTTGCAAGGGGAAAAGAAGAAACAAATCTCTCTTTACGTAAAGAAAATCTAATTGGAGTCTACTTTGTGATTTTGTTTGCAGGTTCACAATGTTTCCTTTGCTTTTGAATTGATGCAAGATGGAGGGCTGAAGAAGCCAAAGGCTCGACCAGAAGGTAGTGCCCAGAAATATGAATCTAGATTAGACAAGCACATGTTCAGCCATTTATTTATGTATGTAATGTTTCTCCTTCCTTTCTCCAAAAACACCCATGTATGCGTATGTATGTATAGGGTATGGGAGAGCAAAGATTTAGTTACAAGAGATGAAATGAGGGTATTGCCCCCCCCCCACCCATCTTCATTCAATCCCCAAATTTCCATAATGGTGATAACCTATTACTTCAGTCCAGCATTTTGAACTACAGTTCAGCCATCCAAAGGAAAAGCACAGACAAGGGAACCAAGGGAATGCCAACATAGTGGTTTTAGAAGTTCTGTATCGGGGGGGGGGGGGGGGGGTCCTTAAACCTTTTAAGCCAAGGGCTGGTTCACAGTCTGTCCGACTGTTGGGGAGCCAAACTATAGTTTGAAAAAAAAAATGAACAAATTCCTATTCACACTGCACATACCTTATTTGTACTGAAAAAAATTATGAAAGAAGATTAAAATATTTAAAATGAAGAACAGTTTTAACCAACATAACCATACCAGTATTTCGGTAGGACGTTAGGGCCTGTTTTTGGCTGATTAGATAGTCAAGTTAATTAGGATTGTTGTTGTTGTGTGCCTTCAAGTCATTTCAGATTTAGGACGACCCTAAGTCTAAAGTTTAGGGCAGAAGAAATGGCCTTGGAGGGCCACAACTGGCCCACAGGACTTAGTTTGGGGACTTCTGTTCTAGGCTTTGACAATTGGGGGGCAGATTTCTTACTTGGGGGGCAATGCTCTCATCTCCCATTATTCCCACCTCCCTGTAGGGGAGTTTATGGGTTTTGGCTTCAGAGACCCGTAAGAGCATTTCATGATCACTGTGGTGATTTTCTCCATCTGTTGTGCTCATTTTTAAAAAATATTAATAACTACGAAGAGTATACCAAAGTTGTATGTTCTTGCCGTGTTTTTCAAATTATTTCTTTTGCTTCTAATAGTCTTCTTAAAATGATATAAAAGCATATTTTATTTTAAAAATTGTCATCTTGAGATACTAATTGGAGATGGGTATTTAAAAATATGCATTGTCATACACAGTCACAAGAAGATCATCTTTTATTCTCCCCCCCCCCCCAGTGAAAATGGGGGTAGTCCAAGGTCCAAGCAGGGGAGGGGGGCTCCTCAGCCCACAAATCCAGTGTAATTCCCTCCTTCAAGGATGCTTGGCAATACACTCCCATTGCTAGGGCTTGTAGTGGGTCAAAAAAAAAATTCAAAGGCCAGTTCAACTTTCAGAGTGGCCCAGAAAATGTTCCTTCAAAGCTCTGCCAAAGAGATTGAGAAGGTCAGTGTTTCTTTATACTATAGCTCCCCAAATCAACAAATCTTTAAAGATTTTTCTGTTTTGACTGGTTGAGTAGGTTTAAATTGATTATGTGATTATTTTCTTTTTGTTGTCAGAATTTGATCTCCATCTGGCCTGCATCAGTTATATCAAAGCAAACCTTTATTACAGTCATAGACTAGCATAAAAGAGAGTAGCACACAGTCTCATAAAAGCATAATACATTAAAACCAGCTATACACAAGAGCAGTTTACTTTTTAAAAAATACAAACAAACTCATGGGCAGCCATTTCTGCCCATTCTGAATCAGTGACTTGAGCTTCCAATTTGATCCATTACAAATGGAGGATGTATTTTATTTTCACAATCATTAATTCCACCATGATCATCATTGCCTATTTCACTGTGCCTATATTTACAAAGAAAAACCCAAAACAAAACAAAAAAACAAAACAAAACAAAAAATCAAACTAATATTCAAAAGAGATGGTTGTGTTAATCTATTTAACGTAAAATATATAAAGGAAGTAGAATTCAAGCCAAGATCAAATAGGAGAAGTGCAAAAAAGCCAGAATGGATGTCCAAAGAACTTCTAACTGTGCTAAAAAACAAAAGAGACATGCACAAGAAGTGGAAAAAGGGAGAAATCACCAAAGAAGAATTCAAACAAATAGCCAACACCTGTAGGGAAACGGTCTGCAAGGCTAAAGCACAAAATGAGCTCAGGCTTGCCAGGGTCATTAAAAACAATAAAAAGGGATTCTTTTCTTATGTCAGTAGAAAAAAGAAAAACAAGGAGGCGATGGGGCCTCTTCGAGGAGAAGATGGGGCAATGCTGACAGGGGGGTAGAGAAAAGGCAGAACTACTTAATACCTTCTTTGCCTCGGTCTTCTCACAAAAAGAAAGTCATCTCCAACCTCAGCAAGATGGAGTGGATGAGGGATTAGAGGACATCCAACCCCAAATTGGGAAACAAGATCCAGGAATACCTGGCCGCTCTTAATGAGTTCAAGTCCCCAGGGCCAGATCAACTACACCCCAGAGTATTGAAGGAACTAGCGGAAGTCATTTTGGAACCATTGGCAACCATCTTTGAGAGTTCTTGGAGAACGGGAGAAGTTCCAGCAGATTGGAGGAGGGCCAATGTGGTCCCAATCTTCAAGAAGGGAAAAAAGGATGACCCAAACAATTACCATCCAGTCAGCCTCACATCGATACCAGGCAAGATTCTGGAAAAGATTTTAAAGGAAGTGGTCTGCAAACACTTAGAAACAAATGCGGTCATCACTAATAGTCAACATGGATTTATCAAAAACAAGTCATGCCAGACTAATCTGATCTCTTTTTTCGATAGAGTTACAAGCTGGGTAGATGCGGGGAATGCCGTGGATGTAGCGTACCTGGATTTCAGTAAGGCCTTCGACAAGGTCCCCCATGACCTTCTGGCAAACAAACTAGTCAAATGTGGGCTAGGCAAAACTACGGTTAGGTGGATCTGTAATTGGTTAAGTGAACGAACCCAGAGGGTGCTCACCAATGCTTCCTCTTCATCCTGGAAAGAAGTGACGAGCGGAGTGCCGCAGGGTTCCGTCCTGGGCCCGGTCTCAACATCTTTATTAATGACTTAGATGAAGGGCTAGAAGGCATGATCATCAAGTTTGCAGACGACACCAAATTGGGAGGGATAGCCAATACTCCAGAGGACAGGAGCAGGATTCAAAACGATCTTGACAGATTAGAGAGATGGGCCAAAACTAACAAAATGAAGTTTAACAGTGACAAATGCAAGATACTCCACTTTGGCAGGAAAAATGAAATGCAAAGATACAGAATGGGGGACGATGGCTCGAGAGCAGTACGTGTGAAAAAGATATTGGAGTCCTCGTGGACAACAAGTTAAACATGAGCCAACAATGTGATGTGGCGGCAAAAAAAGCCAATGGGATTTTGGCCTGCATCAATAGGAGCATAGTGTCTAGATCTAGGGAAGTAATGCTACCCCTCTATTCCGCTTTGGTTAGACCACACGTGGAATATTGTGTCCAATTCTGGGCACCACAATTCAAGAGAGATATTGACAAGCTGGAATGTGTCCAGAGGAGGGCGACTAAAATGATCAAGGGTCTGGAGAACAAGCCCTATGAGGAGCGGCTTAAGGAGCTGGGCATGTTTAGCCTGAAGAAGAGAAGGCTGAGAGGAGATATGATAGCCAGGTATAAATATGTGAGAGGAAGCCACAGGGAGGAGGGAGCAAGCTTGTTTTCTGCTTCCTGGAGACTAGGACGCGGAACAATGGCTTCAAACTACAAGAGAGGAGATTCCATCTGAACATGAGGAAGAACTTCCTGACTGTGGGAGCCGTTCAGCAGTGGAACTCTCTGCCCCGGACTGTGGTGGAGGCTCCTTCTTTGGAAGCTTTTAAACAGGGGCTGGATGGCCATCTGTCGGGGGTGAATTGAATGCAATATTCCTGCTTCTTGGCAGGGAGTTGGACTGGATGGCCCATGAAGTCTCTTCCAACTCTTTGATTCTATGATTCTATGATTGTCTATGTTTTTTATTTTAATTACTTGTATTGTTGTTTTATCGCTTGTATTGTTGTATTTGGGCTCAGACTCATGTAAGCCGCACCGAGTCCCTTGGGGAGATGGTAGCGGGGTACAAATAAAGTGTTATTATTATTATTTATTATTTTATTTTCACATTCATTAATTCCACTATGATCATCATTGCCTATTTCACTGTGCCTATATTTACAAAAAACCAAACCAAACAAAAAACCAAACTGGTAATATTCAAAAGCGATAGTTGTGTTAATCTATTTAACATAAAATATCTAAAGGAAGTAGACTTCAAGCCAAGATCAAATAGCTGGCCATAGATCCAGGTGAGCCAAATATAGCCTTGCTCCAGGTAGCCAGCCATAAACAAGTGTTTTTTTTTCCTGCAGTAAGGTTATTAAAAAAATCTTAGGCAATCTTAATTATTCAGTTTTCACAAGTCTATGAAAAAGGTGATTTACTAATATGAGAAATTTCTTTTCAGTTCATGGGTAGAATAGAATTCATTTGACATTCTTAAGCCAATTGTTCCGACGAGAGTTTGAGTTGTGCTTGACGTTTCTCTGACAGATGGTATCAGGGGAGTTGTGGAACATTTTGTTTTGCTGTTTAGGAATCAGAAAACTTGTTTTTCACATTCTAAAAGAGGAACTATTAAAACAACCTAAAATGTGTTTTTTTCCCCCCTTATCCCACAGATGTTGTCAACTTGGATCTGAAATCTACCCTAAGGGTTTTGTACAACTTATTCACGAAATACAAGAATGTTGAGTGATCTGGAGGCCTCCTGAGATGCTGTGGATCTTCACAGTATCCTTTTGAGGGAGAGAAGAAGAGGTGGGGGAGAGAGGAAACAATCTTTTCTTTCCTTTCCTCTTGTGCCATATTTTGTATTCCCTCATGCATGGTGGTGTCCCTTCCTTCATTACCATTCATTGCCATTTTCTCCATGTAATTCTTTATGCTCTATGTCCACTCTGTGCCTTTGAAAATATAGCTAAATTTATTGGAATATCCACATTGTTCGGTGACGGAATAGTCTCCCGTGTGTTGTACTTTTAATAGATTTTGCAGTTATAATTCCTTCTAATAGCAACAAGAAGTTGTGGCCAAAGAAATGCACCATGATGCTGTTTGTCTGAAGAGGGACGGGGAGAAAAGATTTACTTCCATTTTCTTCTGCCATTAAATCATTAATAGCTTTAGGCACATTGCCTTCAATCCTACATAGGTGATATGGGGATAATAACACTGTCCTAATTTACCAAGTCATTACAAGGATTAGTAAGATAATGGAAATGAGGTGCTTTGATCACTTTAACATGACATATGGATGCTAAGCTATAATATTTTCTGAGGCTTCTGGATATAAAGTAGACCCATAACACCTAGAGATAAATAAAGATTGGGTTGAGTGTGGCATTTGGTTTTTTCTCAAGATCTGAAGGTAGGAAGTGGTGAAAAGCCATTTACGAACAATGCAGACTTCAGAAGGATGAATCCATCTCTTGTGTCTACGTTTCACACATGTTGAAGTGATATAATTTCGGTGGTCCCTAATTTCAAGATATGTTGTTTTGTACTCATTGAGCCCCTGCACATCTTTTTATTTGTGTTTTTATTTGTATTTGTTTCCTTTTGGGATTGAACTTCCTCCTCCATATGTCTGTGGGAAGCATTGACTTCCTTTTTGTGTTGTTATCCTAATACCATTCAGTATTACTTCCCCTGAATGTACTGTGAAACACAGATGGAAAAGCTGCCTGATCTGAATAAAGCCAGTCTTCTTTTACCTTCTCTGTTTCTCTGTCTCTTTTTTCCTGAAGGGAGATTGGGGTGCCTGGTGATGTTGCTGTGTTGTGAATCTGCCAGGAGAAATGCTGTTTGAAGTCAGAATCTGAAACAAATCCTGCTAGAACACTGCCACTCGAAATAGACATAAGTAATTATGAAGAGTGAAAAATAATGTAATTGATGGTGTGGAAATGCCAGAAATGCCCCTCTAATTTTACTTCATATCTACAGATTCAGTGGAAATACGTGGCCAGTATTGGGTTTTTAAAAGGCTGTACAGTACCCCCCAAATTTCTGAAAACATTTCATCTCTTAAAGAGTAAAGGAGTGGTTCTCTAAGTGTGCTCCACGGAGCCCTTGGGATTCTGTGAACCATACTGAGAGGCTCTGTAGTTTTTCCTCCTCTTTCCTGCTCCTCAGGGGGACTCAGGGCAAAGCACAACATATATACGGCTGTGCAGAAGTCATTGTTATTATGTTTGTGTTTAACTGTTAAGAGTATGTATTTG